AACTGATTCTTTGTTTGAGTGTAGCTGGGTAAACCCTTGTGAACATGCTGGGTTAAGTTTTCAACATAACACGATCGCAGTTTTAGGCATTTATGAGAGAACTGGACTCCAGTGCTAATATTGTGGGATGTATTATTTAGAATATTTTGGTTATGGAAGTATATGTAGTCAGTTTACTTGAATGGCTTCTGAGTATCTGTCATATAAATGAAATTACTCACAATTCCAATCAATTAGTCAATTCCGATACATGACATTTAGGGGGAGGCTCTCATAGAAAAAGTAAAAGTTTCTTAGAATTTCAATTTGTGCCCTTTTATGGACAATTCATTCTTACCTCATATCAAAACCATGAGACAATTAGACATGCATCTGGTAGTGCATATATGAGAACTAGATTATGGCAAAAGTCTGTTAAAATTGACCCCTTTCAGTTTATCCAGTAACTAAACTGTTAAAAGGAAAGAGCACCATGGCATATTTTCTTCAACTCTTAGCAAATCTCTTTAACTGACATTATTTGCCATTCTACATCTCTTTGGAAATATCACATTTAGTCTCCTAGTCTCCTCGATGGTTTTTGACATTTCTGATTAGTGCGGGTGAGTTAATTTGAGAATATCATCCAACTTGACATGTATGGGTCGGAATACATTTTGTGTGTTTTATATGGAGATGAACAAATACACATACAGGAAGCAATACTCTAGTTAAATTATACTGCTCTTAAATGTTTTTCTTTTTTAAAGTGAGTTTGAATACCTTATGGCTGTACAAATTTGTTAAAAATGGCCAAAAAGTGCTCAAAACATGGCGAAAAAAGTTCTCAAATAGTGCTCGATTTCTATAAAAAAGTGCTTGAAAAATAGAAATTGTGCACAAAAGATGCTCGCGGTTAAGTTTTTTTTTTTTTTTTCATTATTTCCTAGCAAAGGGTTTATACACATTCCTAGTTTTAGCAATCGAACAAAAACTCTTTATTATCAGTTGAGCATATAGTTTCTAAAGCACACAGCATCACTGAACTAAAGTCGATTTCTTGTATCGAAGCATTACAAAAGCTTCAATACAACAGCGCTAAAAGTTTTGAGAAACACGAAGTCACGAACTAATCAAAATCGACTGTTCCCACGCTTAAAAGGAGCATAGCTCGTGCATTTCCATAACAACAGTCAGCGGTCAGGCGACAAGGTTGAGTTATCTCTAATTAATGCTCATGATAATAGAATTACGCGGCCTTACCAAAAACGTTTCAAAGACAAAATATTGCATTTAACATATGGAAAATTGTGAAAAATGTGCTGAAATGTTTCTCAAAAACTGAAAAACTCCTCAAATTCTACTCAAGAGTGCTGGAAATGTGAAATAGTGCCTCAAATTCGAAAAAGTGCCGAAAAAGTGCCAAAATTCCACTGATCGAAAGCTAGAATATTCCATGGTACACTGTAATCAGAACAGACGCTTGTATCCTTACACTTATTGCTTCTTTAAATCGTGCAAGAAAATCCCTTACATTTGAACGACGTAGCAAAGAATACAAATTAATTCATTTAACAACTCAGTTTGAGTAATATTTCATAAGTCTTTCCATTTCGCTTTCGACTTCCGTTCCGCTTTAGTAAATTTTGAATCTAGCATGTTGCTATATACGTTGGAAGAAAAAAATACCTTCGAAATTAAGAGGTTACCCACTGTAAA